AATATGGCGACAAAGATGAGGACAATAGTCCGAATAATTTAAATAGTGTGCATAATACCTCATCTAAGAAATATAGACAGATACTGAAAGGCCGAAACGTTGTAATAAATATGGCGACAAAGATGAGGACAATAGTCCAAATAATGTAAATAATGTACATAATACCTCATCTAAGAAATATAGACAGATACTGAAAGGCCGAAACGTTGTAATAAATATGGCGACAAAGATGAGTACAATAGTCCGAATAATGTAAATAGTGTGCATAATACGTCATCTAAGAAATATAGATAGATACATTTTTAGCTGAAGAAATTTTTCCATGAATAACGTACTTTTGCAAGAATTGTTTCCATTTTTTATTAAATTTTAATTACAATAATTTATAACATTTTAAATATTTTTAAGTGTTGTATAGCGGCCTTAAGCAATTGAATGGCAGAACGTGGAAGAGGGAAGGAACTTGTTGAGAGCTGCAAGGGATAGGAGGAGGTTTAGAGCCATGATCGCTTGCGTCCTGAAAGGACACGGCACATAGAAAGAACAAAGAATTAATTTGTACTGGTTAGGCGATATTGTTATAAAGTAAAAAGTATATATACTAATCATATATCGAAAAGCTTACAGTAATTCAGCATGTTTTAAAAATTATTATTTGTCTCTATAAACGTGTAGATTTTTGTAAATACGGATGCCCATACACGACATTATCAGAAAATTATAGCAATAGCTATAATAAATTTAAACTCAAAGTCGCTAAAATTTAATAAAACATTAGATTACTTAGCATATCTATGTATATATAAAATTCTGTGGCTTCCGTCTGTCCGCCCGTCTGTCACACCGATACAATGATCGATCGAAATCAAATTTTTGGGAGATGTGGAAAGAGGTAAGGAGGGTACAAAGTTCTGTTGGTGATACTAAATTGCGTAGCTTAGTACAATAATTTTTCATTCATTTTTTTTTTTAAATCAAAAGTTTTATTATTTAAAATTTAAAATACTCTCACTATATTGAAAACAATATAATGTTTCAAATAATAATACTTATTTAATAAAAATGCAATATTTTTTTTTCATATCTTTTCTTCAAGTTTATATATATATATATATATATATATATATATATATTCTGGTGACATATTATGTAGAAAAGTAGCACTGTAAATATGAGTACATTAAATAAATATATATATATATATATATATATATATATATATATATATATATATATATATATATATATATATATATATCTGTGTGTGTGTACATAATATTCTACCAGAACTATATATATATATATATATATATAAAATTCTGTTAAAATGTTATGCACAGTTGCAGCACCGCAAATATGAGTACATTAGAATTAAATGTATATATATATATATATATATATATATATATATATATATATATATTTTATCAAAACTATATATATATATATATATATATATATATATATATATATGAAAAAATATATTGAAAAAAAACAAACAAAAATCCTAATATGCGATTATGCTGTTTTAATGTTTAATGTCAACGTCGGACGTTTCGGTCTAATAGACCATCTTCAGGACATATTCATAAATCATAATTAACATAGACCATATACAATTCAACATGAAAAAGACGATGGGCATAAAAGCAATACCAATCCAAACAGATAACAGACATCTTTTATAAGATCACCGTATATATATATATATATATATATATATATATAATATTTTACCAGAACTATATATATATATATATATATATATATATATATATATTGTGAACTAGATATATATATATATATATATATATATATATATATATATATATATAGTTCTGATAAAATATGTAAAGTTGTAGCACTGTAAATATCAGTACATTAGAATTAAATGTATGTATATATATATATATATATATATATATGTGTGTGTGTGTGTGTGTGTGTGTGTATATATATTTTATCTTCTGTTATTGAATAAATATGAATTAAACCCCCCCCCGTTGTTGAGTGTCTGTTTTATTTGTTTTGGGGTTTTTGGGTTTTTTTTTTTAGTTAGTCACGTGGTCATGATTGTTTTTATGCTGTAGGCATATATGTATATATATATATTCTGTTCCAATTTTCCTCTTTGGCCCGCGTATCCTGACGACCCGAGTAGGTGACCCCTAGGTAGGTTTGTCCGGCTCTGTAGTTTCAAAATTAGATTTGCTCTACTTAGTATATTGAGCAATTTACTTAGTTACTTTTGCTTTACTCGTTTTGGAGTTTTTTTCTTTGGACTCTGGGCTTGAATTCTGGACGATTGTTTTCGCCTCAATTACATGTTCTTAGTTCTTTCTTTTTTCTCCTTTATTTGTCCTTGGGCATTGGTTTGTTCATTTACAAACAGAAACACCTAAGGTTTTTCCAGACGAGTATAACTATATATATATATATATATATATATATATATATATATATATATATATATATATATATATTCATGTATGTATAAAATAAAAAGAAAGAACAGTAAGATATATAATCCGGTGTTCTGATAGATATTTTA